TTTTAAATTTATTATTAATTTTTTTTATTTAGTTTCTTTTTTAGTTTTTCCAAATAACATATATAATAAAAAAGAAATATTTCTAAAATTTTAAAACAGATTTAAAAACGAAAAAAAAATATATATATATATATATATATATATATAATATGATTTTATTAAAAAGGAAAGTTCACAAAATAGTAATATACCCCATTAATATATATTTTTCCAAATAACATATATAATAAATAAGAAATATTTCTAAAATTTTAAAACAGATTTAAAAACGAAAATATATATATATATATAATATTATTTTATTAAAAAGGAAAGTTCACAAAATAGTAATATACCCCATTAATATATATTTTTAAATAACAAATGGTATATTTTAAAAATAATAAAAATATATATGTTCATGAACATCCAAAATTTATCAGTTACACTTTATTTTCTAATATTTTTTAGAAATCAACATATAATTTGATAAANAACTAAAATAAAAAGTAATTATACTTCAATTTTAACTCAATATATTCACAACATGAATGACTCGACTAATCTAATTTATATCCAAAATTAAACATCTAACTACAATAAGAACATATAATTTTATAGTAATAATAATATATTTAATTTTATATATAAATTAGAGGTTGACTCAAAGCATATTAAAAAGAAAAAGAAAATACTAACCAATTATATTTTATTCTTTTGTAGAATTTATATATATGCATGAGACTTCAAAATATTATCATTATATTCATTTAGGTAATTTTGAATCAAACACTTCAGCTTATTATTTATTTTAGTTTAAGCACAATATATATATATATATATATATATATATATATTAAGTTATATATAATTTATTTATAATATATTTACATATCTAAGACAATAACCAACCGAAATGAAAATAAGAACATTAATTAAAGTTTTATTATATTTACCATAAAAAATATTATAGCTGAATTTGAAAAATAAATATTATCCAATATACCAAATTGATAACCAAACCGACTATTGATCCAAAAAAATAATAAAACTGACAATAATATATCCAAAGTCATATGTATAATTAGAATAATATAATATTTATTAATATACTTTATACATATAAATTGATACAAAACTAAAACTAAATATCAATCAATTATTATAAAATTTTACTTTTACGAATATTTATACCCGTGCATGAGCACGGGAAAATCACCTAGTTTTATGTTATTTAAAAATAATTTAAATGTATTATTACTATTTTGTGAACTTTCCTTTTTTATGAAATTATATTATATACATATATTTTTATGTTATTTAAAAATATTTTAAATGTATTATTACTATTTTGTCAACTTTCCTTTTTTATGAAATCATATTATATACATATATTTTCGTTTTAAATTTGTTTTTTATGAATTTATAAAAAAATGCTTTTTTATTACATATCTTTTTGGAAATTTTTGAAAAGGAAAAACTAAAAATAAAAGAATTAATAATACTATTTTCAACTCATTAAGGGTATCAATATAATCAACCATCGTGAGAATGAACGTGAGAGCGACACATAGGAAACTGACTTCTCAAATAATATTATAGAGATTACTGAAATTATTTTTTAGTATATTTATTTTACTATAATATCTTACAATTACAGTAAAAATATAAATTCTATTTTACTTATATAGTATAATTTCTCAAAAACAATCACTTTTTACTGACTATTTTAAGAGATACTAAAAATAAAACTAAAATTAAATTTAATAATAAACATCTTTTGATCAAGTAACTACAATTATTTTAAAATAGCATAACACTATATAATCTAACGATGTAGATATATTATATTTTAATAGTTAAAATTATCTGTTTTAAGAATACGGATTATGATTTACTTAAGTATTTTGATTATGGTTATATTAAATTTCACAAACATAAAAACAGAAAATACTTACAATTATTTTAAAATACCACAACACTATATAATTTAATGAGGTAGATATATTATATTTTAATAGTTAAAATTATCTGTTTTCTTAATAAATCTTTTGATTTTGATTTTTCTGTTTTTATGTTTGTGAAACTTAATATAACCATGATCAAAATACTTAAGCAAATCAGAATCCTTATTCATAAATTATTTTTAAAAAAATTCAGTTTACCATCCAATCAATCTAAAGCATAAATTTATTTAAAATCTATAAAATATTTTAATTATTGTAAATATTCATATGTGTTCAAAAACTTCTAAAAATTCATTAGTTACTTATGTATGTTATTTAGAATCAAACACTTTAGTTTTTATTTGTTTTCCTTCCAACCACAAAAAATCTTAAGTTATATATAATCTTACTAAATATACTTATATTTCTAAAATAACAACCAGCATAAATGAAAATAAGACAATTAATCAAAATTTTAATATATTTAAAATATAAAAGATTATAGTTGAATTCAGAGAAATAGATAAAATCCAATATATCTAAATGATAACTAAATCGACTGTAAAAACAATAAAATAGACTAAATATAACATATCTAAAATTATATATATAATTAAAGTAATAGAATATTATAATATAAATTAGGCATACAAACTATAAATTAATTTAAAAATTAAAATAAATATCAATTAATTATTATTGTATATTTATTTTATAAATATACATGCCCGTGCATGAGCACGGGAAAATCACCTAGTTAGTATATTATTGAATAGTTCCCAAGATAATCTTACTCTATTAAAAGGGCTAAATAAAGCCACCATACACTGTCCACATGAACAATAATATTTAGCCAATTTAAAACCTTGAATCATCCATGTAGGATTTGGTTATCACATTATAACCAGATTTGATTTTGGTCTGATTTCTCTTCTGGTATTCGGTTTATCTCCAGTGAAAGCAGAAGATCTTCTTTTTTTTTTTGGGAAAATCACATAAAAAACTTTCAGGGTGGCAACCACTTACACTTTAAATACTGAAAGTATTTTACAAGCACTTTAAACACTCAAGTTGACAAATTTAGGATATTAAACCTCCAATCTGGATTACTTGTACATCAAGTTAAAAATGTGACTGGTACTATTCAAAAACGATGACGTGTCGGTTTATGTTTAAAAAAAAAAAATTCTACTAATAAATAAATATAAAATTACAGAAAATATAAAAATTCATTAAAAATCATTAAAAATTCATTAAAAATTGAAAAATCATAAAAATCAGAAAAATCATAAACATTAAAAATCAAAAAATAATTAAAATATTTTATTAATAAAATGTTAAAAATAAGAAAAACTTAAAAGAAAATCCCAAAATAAGAAAATTCACAAAATTTTAAATAAAATAAAAATGAAATTTAAATCAAATTAATATAAGAATAATAGATAAAATAAATATAAATTCAAGAATAAATAATTTTATTTGTTTTATAAAAAAACAAGAAAACACTATATATTTTTTTAAAAAGAATCATTATCTTCAAATGAGTCTCGTGAACCAAATCAAAGCAAACAAATTAAATTCTAAGTCATTTTGTTCTCATTTTGTTGCTTATTAGTCGAGGTTTTCTGGATTTTATAACTAGATTAATATAGGGTATTTTAATAACTGTTAAAACACTTGGATTTTAACTTGTTTCCTTTGATTTGGTTCACGAGAATCATTTGATGGTATATATCATATACATTTAATTTATACGATGACTTGGAATTTAATTTGTTTGCTTTGATTTGGTTCACGAGAATCATTTGAAGATAATGATTCTTTTTAAAAAAATATATAGTGTTTTCTCGTTTTTTTATAAAACAAATAAAATTATTTATTCTTGAATTTATATTTATTTTATATATTATTCTTATATAATTTTATTTAAATTTCATTTTTATTTTATTTAAAATTTTGTGAATTTTCTTATTTTGGGATTTTTTATAATTTCTTTTAAGTTTTTCTTATTTTTAATATTTTACTAATAAAATATTTTAATTATTTTGTGATTTTTTAATGTTTATGATTTTTCTGATTTTTTTGAATTTTTTATGATTTTTTTCAATTTTTAATGAATTTTTAGTGATTTTTAATGAATTTTTATATTTTCTGTTTTTTATATTTATTTATTAGTAAAATATTTTTTTTAAAAAAAAACACAAACCGACACGTCATCGATTTTGAATAGTACCGGTCACTTTTTTAACTTGATGTACAAGTAAGTCAGATTGGAGGTTTAATATGCTAAAGTTGACAACTTGAATGTTTAAAGTGCGTGTAAAACACTCTTAGAGTTTAAAATGTAAGTGGTTGCCAGCTGAAGTTTTTTTATGCGATTTTCCGTTTTTTTTTTTAGCGACGAAAGCAGAAGATTTCCTTTTTTGTTTCGACTTCCTCTGTTGCGATATCATCTCTTCCGTTTTGGCGATTAAATTTGTCACTCTCTTTTCTATTCAATTTTTTGGTTCATTACAATCCATCCTTTGCTTCTTCTCATTCAATGGGTTCCTCTTTTCACCTTCCTCGACATGGTTGTCTCAGCGGATTCGTCAGGAAGATTAACATAAAACGGTGGTGTTATGTGTGAATTCTCTTGAGATTAAAAAAATTTGATCGGTGGTGTTATCTCTCTTATCTTCTGAAAGAAATTTGATCGGATCTCTCCCTTTCAGCTTTGGAATTACACTGCTTCACGAGGACGACAAAGTTTCGAATTGAATTTGTTTTTTTTAGGTCTCTCAGCCTTTTCATTTACTTTCTTCCTTAAAAATCCAATTTTTTTTTTGTTGCTTTGTTTCAATCTGAGCTCTTCTTCTTGTGATCTTTAAAGTTGGATTTTCTCAATCAATGGAATACAACTGAACCAGAGATAAATCTCAAGTTTCGTATCAATTTTATCATCTATCTCTCTCTGTTTTATGACTTTGCTCATTTTCTCTTTCAATTGTACTTAGTTTGGTTTAGTTTTTTTTATGCAGACATCTTCAAGTTCGTAACTTTTGCTTTTGGAGATTCACCTATTTGTGTCCAATCATGGCCGTCCCTGAGAATGCTGGTGTCAAAGTTGACTCTTTCGCTCAGAATAATTTAGACAACAACAACACTGCTTCTGAGACCAAGCCCTCATGTCATTATGATCAGAGCCCAAAACCTGATTCATCTCTTGACTCACCGAATCGTCCAGGCTCTGACGATCTGACCGATGAGGATGCCCAAAAGGACCAGACTCCAAATGGTGAGAGAGAGGACAGTGGAGGGTGTCTCAAGAACTTGCCTGATGCGTTTTCTAAGCTAAACCCGATGGCTAAGGAGTTTGTTCCTCCTTATCTGGCTAGAAGCCAATCTTGTGGGGGGTTTTGAGGAAAGGATGTGGCTTTGCTAACGGTTTTGCAGTGCAGCATGTTGTTGCAGATGGCAATGATCATCTTCGTAGAAGGGTATATTCATTTTTTTTGTTTTATGGATAACAAGTTTGTTTGTGCTTTGTTTTGGGTCTTCATTTATTTTCTAATTGCAAGTTTTGATTAGCATGTGTGTGCACTATGATCTTTGTGTTATTATATCTTATCTTCTCCCAGAGTTTGATGATCAAGTGAGATGTATAGAGAATCAGTGATTTAAAGTGCAGAGCTTTTGTGTTTGTGTTTTACTTACCATGATTTGGTAGCTTGCTTATTGATTGAAAAAAGCTTGTGCGTTGATAAATTTAGCAAATAGTTAACGTGAAGTTTTGAGCTTTACTTTGTGGCTAAAGCTTGATCATTGTCTGAGAAAGTAGTTTTACTTTGTGTGTGGTTTGATAAGTTATAGGTTTTTGCTTATTCAGTTAAGCATCCACTTCTGTGTCGGGAATGATTCTCTGCTTCCTTTTCTCTTTTACTAAGTTCCATCATAATCTCTGTTTCCACAGGAAAAGAAAATAATTCATGATAACTTTTTCTTAATGCACTCAAAGGAGACTTTGATTAGTTTTTGAAATCCTGGTTCTTATGCCTTCTGTCGGCATCTCCAGATTCTTGGTCTCGACATTTGCGCAGAAACATTGATATGATATGTAATGAGGAGAGGCATATCAGGGGGGGAAAAGAAACATCTTACCACTGGTTAGCTCATACTTAGGATGCAATACCATCAACATTTGGTTATGAAATGTTCTGTTTATTTTTTATTTTTTATGTTTATCTTTGTCTCTTTGTCGCAGATAGTTTGATGGAACCATACATGAAATATCTGCCTACGTATATATTGCTTTCTGGTCCACACTTGGGTTATCTATACAGTTCAAACTCATTGTTTAATTCTGGACTTCGGCTCCTGAAGAAGTTAAGGAGTACTCAGGTTATTCATCAGCTTACGCTCACTGATCATCCTGATCTTCAGAATACTTTCTACTCTTGAGAGCACTCAGACCACCTTTGATTTTCTGAAGGACTAATATTCATCACTATCCTTTTCTGGTTTGTTGTTACAGCTCTGAAACTTTTGTTAGTGCTTCAGAAGAGAGTACCAGTGCTCTTGAGTTTGTTGGAAAGAAAATTGCAAAAGCTACCATGATCCCAAGGACTCATGGAGAGATGGTTTAGTTCTCTATTTCCCATTTGATTCATAGACCTAAGTGTGTTTAGTTTTTTAGTTTCCCATGATAATAGCAATAGGTATTTATTTATATTGCTTACTTTCCTTTAGCAGGCATTCAATATTTTAAGGTATGAACTTGGCCTGAATTATGATTCCCACTATGATATAAACAACGTAATAACATTCAGTGTTTTTATTATACCTTCAAGCAATAATATTAGAGAAATTGCCAGAAATAACACTTTTAAGATACCACTTTTCAACTTTACACTAACCAACTTTGCCATTAAAATTTTAATAGTCAAATTACTATTAGAATTTAGGGTTTAGGGTTTTGGGTTTAGGATTGATAGTTTAGGGTTTAGTGTTGATTTTTAGGGTTTAGGGTTTACTTTTTAGGGTTTAGAGTTTAGGGTTTAAGGTTAAAAATTGATATTTTAGGATTTAGGGTTGATTTTTAGGGTTTAGGGTTTACTTTTTAGAATCTAGAGTTTAGAATTGATGTTTTAGGGTTTAGAGTTAATATTTTATTTAATATTTATTTTATATATATATAAAGAACAAAGATATAAGAGTTTTTTATCCTTTAATAAATGTGTATTTTTGAAAATGTTCCTTTGTTGATGGTAAACATGAAAAGTGGTACCACAAAAGTTGTATAATTGAAATTCTCCCATAATATTATGACAATTGGATTTATGGTTTAGCAACTATTTAGGAGATAAGGTTGAGTTTATAAACTTCTATAAATATTTATAAATGATTTTCAAATATTTAGAAATGATTTAGGAGAGTTAGTTTAGTTTTTTTTTTTCATCACAAGCTTAAACTATTTATCAATATAATTATATTTTTAAAGTAAATTTAAAAAGTGATATAAAATTTATGGTAAAAAATAAAATTCTTCTAAATTTAATAACATACAATATGTATATTATGCACGTTTATATATAAATACTTTAGTATATAACATACACTAGACGGCACTTGAGTCATATTTTGATCGTTTTTACTATCTTACAATAATTTGTATTATTTTAGTACATGATATTTCATAAATAATAAACTGGGTGCAAAATCACAACCCAAATCTCAAAAACTATTTTTTAAAAAAATATTATCTGATTCATATTTAATACTATTTTGATTGTGCTATATTTTTTTTTGTGACGATCAATTGTGCTATACAAGATGTTGATTAAAAGGTATATTATTTCCTTTAATGGGAATCATTAGGAAAATTCACATATCAGTAATATAAAAATATATAACCAACACTTAGTATCTAATTTCTAAAATGTCTTCTACCTTCATTTTTGGAACATAGGTGATGAAAAATGAAAACCTCATGAACTAATCATCTTAAAAAAGATAGTATTTAGCTGAGAACAACATAAAAAAAAAGTATTCAGTAAAAATATTTAGTTTTCATAACATAAGAAGCTCATGAAATGTTGGATTGGTAGAGGATATGATTTTAGTTATTTTGATTTAGAATGTATGTTGTAAGTTTTTTTCTATCTTTAAATTAGATTGATGTAAATTTATATTAATTACTTTGAAAATACTAAATGTATATATATATATATATATATATATATTAAAAATGATTTCCAAAACCAATATATTTTCTAATTTAACTGTTGGGCTGTAGTTTAAAATTATTTTCTTAAAAAAGTATTTGATAAATCAAAATGATTGTAAAAATAATAAGAACAGTAAAAAATACGCAGAGCATTTGCCAATTACCTCTAACAACATTTATGAAATTTCTGAAAATATTCAATAAATCGACTGTTTACCTTTTATCAAGGTGACAAAGGTATTACATCCAACACTTTTGAAATTGTAAGAAAATTCAACAATTTTAATTTTCATGTGTATTTCTAAAGAAATTGATTTTATTGGTCAGAACTTAAACTCTTAATCGCTAATTATACAATACGAGTCAGATAGAATGAACAAAATGGTTAAGAAATCAAAATTTTAAATTATTGAAATTTTAACTAATTTTACTATAACACTATTTTACAGAATGAAGTATGTTTTTTCATTATTTACGTAAATGATGTGAAATTTCATTTTAATAATTATATATTTTCAAAGTATCCAATATATATTACATATTTAAATATAAATAATATTAATGAATTACAAATTTATGAAAATAAACCCGGGCGTAGCCCGGGAAAAGGCTCTAGTCTTTTTAAGAAGCTAAAAATTATAACTTTAAAAGCATTAACGGAATTGGAGAGTTAGTCTACCACATTATTCGAGGAGACAAAGTTTACCATAATGATCATTTTTATTATTATTAATGGAGACAACGCTTTCCATATGGTCTAGAGAAGTATAGTTAACATTTTGACCATTCTTTCAAGGACCAAAGAGATATAAACTATCATTTTTTTTTGTCTAAGGTCCGAAAAGATATAGACTATCATTTTAATATTTTCTTCTTTTTTTTTATTTGCAGAGACAAAGCCTATCACGTAATCTTTAATCGTAAAGACATAATCTACCATAACAATCAGTCAAGTAAGGTAATGCCTATCAAGCTGGAAAATAAATGGGAAAAACAGAGCCTTTATTTTGGAACAACAATAAAATTTCTATAATTTAAATAAGTCGAAGACATAAATTAAACCTTATCTTACATGAATTAGAGTGTTCCTGCTGATGACGAATAATGTGTTGTGAAATATATAGTGAGGCGTCAATATATATATATATATATATATTTATACTAACAATTGTATTTTTCTTCTTATGTAAGAAAAGTAAAGAACAGGAAAAGGCCATTAAACTTATATAAATGCTCTCTAATATGGACAAAATCAAAGAAAATTTGCTTTCTATGAAATAAAACGCTTGTTATTCCGATAAGACTAACAAAAGATATATATTAATATTAAATCTCATGTAATCCATCCAAAACTCACATGTAACACATACAAATTACGATAAAATTGTTAGAGAAAACATAAAGCAACACTATAATATCACTTGTGTAAGCCATTGTTGACATCTAAGCTTTCTTTTATTCTTGTTCTTAGTTCTAGGAGAGAAAAGAGTAACTCCTCTAGAGTCCTCCTGTAACTCTTTTGGTTTTTTTATTGTTTCTATATTTTATATCTATTCTTTCTATGATTTATGTGAGAAACTTCATGTCTGAATAGATCCATCTGTTAAATTTAGGGTTCTATATAGTTCTGATGAATTAGCCCCAAAATAGGATTGCTAGAGAATTGATACCCATTGATAAGAAGTATTCTTAATGCATGGTTCTAGAGTAATGAACTAGATCCTGAACTTAGGACATAGGATACTGAGAAGGTAGATTCTTGCCTGATAATATTCTGATTGAGTTAGGTTTGTTAGAAATACGTGAGAGCTGATCGACCTTACCTAATGGATCAACTCATCACATCCACCGATCGATGTCGATCATCGACTATACCTAATGGATCAACTCATCACACCCATCGATCGACCATACCTAATGGATCAACTCATCACACCCATCGATCGACCATACATAATGGATCAACTCATCACCCAGTGACAGTTGAGTCCTAGCATATTAGCTCGCTTTGCATCATATCTATTATAATTCATGTACCTAAAATCCTAGATCTAGCAACAATCCTTTTCATCGACTACACCTCAGTTACATAAGAACAACTACCTTGTTCGACCTTGTTTACTATATTTACTGCAATTTAGTTTATTATTATTCATTTAATGTTTATTTATTTAATAGCCTAGCTTTATTATAATTAATATATCTAATTGGTTCCCTAGCTCCTTGTGGATTCGATCCCTAAGTACTATAACTGATCTCCTTTTGAGAGAGTAAGTCACTTCTTACGGTAATTTGAGTGATATCAAATTTGGCGCCGTTGCTGGGGAGCTTTGATCGTCATTAGATCTTATCTAGTTAGATTAAGTCTAGGCTTTGATATTGTTCGAAAAACTCTATTTTTTTTTCTTTTGTTTCAGGTACATACATCTCAGTACCAGAAAACAATGAAGAGAGAATTTATGAGTCCTTCAAGGAAGGAGCATGCTGGTTTATGCACGACCCATAAGTCTACGAGGGAAGAATCGATCGACACCCTCCAAGCAGCAGCGATCGACAGCGTACACCACAAATCGATCAACACACAATCACTAAAATCGATCGACACCCCGCCGGAAGCATGTAAGTTTTCACATACCACATATGTTAATGATAAAGTAGTCTAAATTGAACATATATGTCAAATAAGCAATGCAATTAGCCAAATTGAAAATAAATAGGGCACCCAAATCAATGTTACAATCCACTCCACCTTGAATAAAGGTGAAGAAATAAAATTGCTCTTGCAAGACTACTTAAACCCTGTTCTCCTGAAATCGATTCACACAGTTCACTCCATCCCGTGTCGATCGATACTGTTTACCCAAGTACTGTTTACTCCCCCTCGATCGATACAGTTCATTCCATGTCGATCGACACCGTTCATATGCCGTCGATCAGCACTAACACCTCAACGTCAATCTACACTACTTGCGGAAGGACATAGATGATTGACTTGGAGTTGAAACCGATGTATATCACTCTTATAAGTCATCGTTCTTTTCATGGCCTTCCTGACGAGAAACCAATGGATTATATCGAGATGTTTGAAGAACTGGTATGGTTTATTTTTAATAAAGCCCTTGAAGAGTACCTCTTCTGCAAACTCTTTCCATACACTCTTGCTGGAGAAGCATCA